CTCGGGGTTGACCAGGCGCCCGTTTTGAGGGTGCTTCGTTAAAAAAAAAAAAAATCCCCTGGGGCGTGTGCCCGGTGTGCGTTATCCGTGTAAGCCCACCCTGCCTGGTGTCTCACTCTTGGCTCTTCTCCACAGGATGGCTCCCTGCTGGCCTCACCCTTTCTCAAAGGCTTCCTGGCAGGCTACCTGGTAGCCAAACTTCGCTTCTCGTCTGTCCTGGGATTCGTGGCTGGGACCTGCACGGGGATATACGCTGCCCAGAACTATGCTGTGCCCAATGTTGAAAAGACAATCCGGGACTATTTGAGCTCGCTGAAAAAAGGTCGGGACTAGCCAGACGTCCTTTGGCAGCGGTGACTGTAGGAACGGTACTCCTTAGTTAGCAGGCGCAGAAGATTCCTAGGGCTTTCAGAGGCGCGTCACCTGCATCGTTATTTTCCACTGGAAAAGGGCTTTACAGCACATCATTGTGAGACATCAGCGGGTCTGGTTACGGAGTGTTTATTACAGCACCGTGACAGCAGTGATCACTCCACTAACCCACGGTAGCTTGGAAGCGTTGGCGGCTGATGGTTTGCCAGCTGCCTTTTCCCCTCACCGCTCTCCCCATGCCCCTGCGGACTGAGAGGCTGCCTGTGACATGTCCTCACACTTGCTACCCGTTTGCCCTTCCACCCAGCACACGCTTTGCCCTAGGAACATGCTTTGTGTGGCTTTCTGGGGAGCCTTGTAGTTCTCTTCCTAATGAAAGACAAAACCATTCTCCTCCACTGCATCAGAAATGTAGCAGGTGACATCCTGTTTTAACCGGGCTCATTAAATTAACGGTATTTGGTCTCTTCTTGAATGTTCTAGGTTGCGAGTCTGTCTAGCCTGTCTGCACTGACAGCAGCTCGCCCTTGCTGGCTACTGCCTGAAAATGGTGATGTTTGGTAACGCTGCTGGCTCTGCAAACCGGGTGCTCCGGCGGGGGCTGTGGGGACTGATGCTGGTCCTGTCTGTAGCCATATACGGCTCTCACGCTCCCCTCCTGACCCTGTGCAAGGTGGACGGGATGATTCCCTTCAGCTCCGCGTCCGTCGTGGTTCTCGTTGAGCTGACAAAGCTGCTGTTCTCCTTCCTCTTCCTGCTGACCTGGGACCGGGAGCTGCTGGGAGTTGCTGTGTCGTGGCGCCACGTTGCCCCCTTCGCCCTCTCTGCCCTCCTCTACGCCGCCAACAACAACCTGGTGGTTCACATGCAGCTCTTCATGGATCCCAGCACCTACCAGGTCTTGAGTAACTTGAAGATCGTCAGCACCGCGCTCCTCTACAGCCTCTTCCTGCGCCAGAGACTCGGCGTGCGCAAGTGGCTGGCTCTCTTCTTGCTGGTGGCTGCTGGGGTGAGCTACAGCTGTGGTGGCCTGCAGGACCCTGGTAGCCCCTCCGTGATGCGGCTCCACATCACGCTGGTGGGCTTGTTGCTGATCTTGGTGTACTGCCTGATATCGGGCTTGTCTGCCGTCTACACAGAAGCCATCCTGAAAACCCAGGCGCTGCCCCTCAGCCTTCAGAACCTCTTCCTTTACTTCTTCGGGGTCCTGCTCAACTTGATGGGCTACTTCTGGAGCAGCGCAGAGGGCGGTTTCTTGGAGGGCTTCTCCTCCTGGGTGCTAGTGATCGTGGTCAGCCAGGCCGTGAACGGCTTGATCATGTCTGTGGTCATGAAGCACAGCAGTAATATCACCAGGCTCTTCGTGATCTCCTGCTCCATCCTGGTCAACGCCCTCCTGTCTGTCGCCCTCTTCAACCTGCAACTCACCCTCCTCTTCTTCGTTGCCGTCTCGTGCATCGGCCTCGCTGTTCACTTGTACTATGGGGTCAGGTAGCTGCTGCCTCCCTGCCCTGCCTGTGCCGGGGCTGTCTGTAGTTGTTCCTCAGGGGTGCTTAGTGCTGGGGCTGGCATTGGAAGCGAAGCGGAGCTCTGCTCCCTTCCCTGCTGTTCACAGGGAGTTGTTACTGGGGGGTGAACGCAAGACCAGCCCTGGAGGAGCTCAGCTGAGGGGGAGAGCATCCTATCCCCCTTCCCGGGGGGGAAGGAAGCTGGACCCCGTTCCAGTCCAGCTGGGGTCTGTCCCACCAGGTTCCTGCATGATCGGGTGGGTCCTGAGCACCTCGTTCATGTGACTTAATGTATTCTCAAGCTGCTTCCCCCACCTTCCCCCACCAAAGAGCCCACCCACCCGTTTTGTGCCTGTACACGCTGCTGCGGTGGTTCACTCCGCTATGCTGCGGGCTCCGCTGCACGGTCGCTGCCTTGGTCTAAGGCTGTTTCAGCTCCTGTGGATGGTGCTTTCCTGTGACAGGGGCTCACATCCATCCAAAGTGTCCAGCTGATGCCCAGCCCATGGCTTCAGGGCGGCCTGGGCGCTGCGGGAGGTGACTCCTGCTGGCCTGTGACCCCTCTGAGCACCCGGTGAGGTGAGGAAGAGGGTTTCTCCCTCTGGGTCTGTGGAGGTACCAGCCCTCTGCCTGCCTGGAGAGCCTCCTGCCACAGCCAGAGGTGTTTCTCCCACACCTCTCTGAGGTTTTTAACCATGTGCCCCAGCCCCTGGCTCAGGGCTGCCCTCCTTAAGGCCCCGTTTTCCCCTCTCGGGAGCAGTATCGGTCCGTGCGGAGCAGATGAGGAACAGGGGGATGTGGGAACCATTTCAGCTGGTCCCCAAAAGGGAGAATTTGTACCCAAACTTGTACTGGTGCTGTGGCTAGTGAGTTCCTGGCAGGCAGAAGTCGCCGCTGGCTGTGACTGAGGCTATTAAAGTTGGGGTTGAACAGCAGCATGTGTGTGTCCTCCCTGCAGGAAGGGTGCTGTTGTGTGTGGGGGAGGTTTGGGGGCCGGGGGCACATTTGAGCCTGACAACACCCATCTCAATGAAGGGGCTCACGCTTTATTCCATGTGGCAGCAGCCTGGGGACCACCAGCCCTCCCACTGTGCCCACTCCTGCGGGGCTGTGCCCGAGCCCGTGCTCCTGCAGGGTGGCAGAGCAGGGTTTTCCCGGTGGGGGCAGAGGGTGAAGTGCTCCCTCCCCCCAGCCAGGTTTCAGCAGGCAGGGTGGGAGGCTTTGCCCTCTGTTTTAGCTGGATCTGGCCTGTCCCCTGCCGTCAGGGCTGGTGGGCCGCTCCAGGGAGTGGGCACTGAGGTGGCAGGGGTCCTGCTGGGGCAGCAGGAGGTGGCTCAGGGCGTCTGTGTGGTGGCATCAGCTGAGCCCAGCCCTCTGGCCTCCCGCAGCTCCTGGTTGCGTGCGGCGAGCTCCGCCGCGTCCCGCAGCACCTCCTGCAGCAGCTCCCGGTACCACCGCTCCAGGGCCTCCCTCTGCTCCTCTGCCAGGCGCTGCTGGTCCCCAAGCACCTGAGGGAACACCTGGTGCTGCCTGGCACAGCCCGGGCAGCCTGGAGGTTTGTCCCCAGCCCTCCCTGCCCACCTGCAGCAGGCGCTGCCTGCAGGCCTGCCTCTCCTGCTGCTGGCTCTGCAGAGAGGCCTCCAGGTCCCACTCTGCCGCCTCTTGCTTCCTCTGCGCCGCCTCCAGCCTCAGGCGCAGCGTGGCCACCTCCTGCTGCCAGCGAGCTGTGTCCCACTGCAGGGGACAGGGGTGAGGGAAGGGCAGAGCCAGGGAAGGAGGAGGAGAGCCTGGAGCCCATGGTGATGGGCTCTCTCCCCGTGCTCACCTCCTGGCCTGGCACTGCCCTGTCCCCGAGCTCCGGCTGGAGGCGCAGGCAGTGCTGGGCCCGCAGCCGCTGCCTCTGTGCCCTGGCCAGGGCACGCTGGACCTCCAGGGATGGGCACGGCTGGCACTGGCTCCCGGCCTGGTGGAGAGCATGGCCGGCTTGGGCAGCCTTGGGGACTGCCAAGTGCCCCCCCAGTGCAGGGGACAGCAGGCTGTGGGTGCTGCCCCTGCCCAGGAGCGGCAGCTGGGGACCCGGTGGGCTCCCACTCACCGTGTCACCCCCAGTCAGTGGCCGTGGCTGTGGCCCTGGGCTCGGCGAGCCCTGCCCTGCGCTCACCGGGGCCGGGCTGTCCCCTGCCTGGCTGCTGTCACCGGTACCTGATCCTGGGTGCGGAGAGGGAAGGGGAACCAGCGTGATGGGGCTGAATAAAGCCATTTAAATGAGGAACTGAGGCCTCTCCTGGCCCTGCCAAAGCCACTTCCCACCGTGTAAGGACATGGTCCGTGCCCACATGTCGGCCACCCAGGAGTGGGACACCTGCCTGTCCCCACGCTCCCGACCTGCTGGCTCCAGGCTGGCACCCGTTGGGCACGTTTGGGCCCCAGGCTGCTGGCCCAGCCCTGCGTTCCCTGCGGAGATCTGGTCCTGTGGGAGCAGGAGGAGACGTCATGGGCATTCAGGGCTTCTCCTGCCACAGGGTTGTCCCTGGACACGGCTTGACCTGTGCCCACCTCAGCACAGGGCTGATGTATCTGGCTTGTCCTGAGCTCCTCAGAGGCTGCCTGCTTCTTCTCCCACCTTTGGCTCTTTATCACCTGCAAAAAGGGGCTGGGGGTCCTTGCTGGGGTGCTGAAGACCTCCAGGCATGGCCCAGCTCCAGGGACACGTCCCACTGCCACTGTGCCACCCCCCAGGCAAGCAGCCCCCAGCCCCTGCCCTCAGTGATGGACAAGGATGGAGCCCAGACCTCATCTGAACCAGGGAATCGGTGCCACCCTGGTCCCATCCGGTTGCCAGGACCGTTTCCCCACCTGCAGCTCCCGCAGGGCTCTCCGCAGCCGGGCCACAGCCATCTTCTGCTCGGGGAGGCTGGTTCCAGCCAGCAGCTCCGTCCGCAGCCCTCGGATCTCCCTCCGACGTGCTGTCAGCTCTTGCGCAGGGTCCCAGAGGGTGACCGAGATGGTCTTGGCCAGTGCCTTCACCCGCTGGGCCAGCCCCAGGGCCGCCAGGATCTCTGCTCTGGAGGTGTCTGGGCCAGCAGCAAACCCTGGGTGGGAGCCACGGGGGTCCACCAGCACAGGGACATCCCTGGCACGGGGTCAGGGCTGATGGGGACGAGGCAGAGCCGGTGTCCGGCTTCCGATGGCTGCAGGTGTCTGTCCCTGGGCAGCAGCCAGGGACCGAGTGCTGGGTGTGGGGCAGGGGAAGGGAGAAACCTGGGGGAAGGGGGACCCCAAAGCAGCGTCCCGGTCCCAGGGGCTACCTGGCAGTGTCACACACAGCAGCAGGAACGTCAGGCTGTTCCCCTCCAGCAGCCGCTCGACGACCCAGGGCAGGCACCCGGTGTCAGGCAGGGGGTGGCCGGCGGCCGGTGCCCTGCGTGTGGGGCAGGAGAGGGATGGGGCTGGGACCCTCACGCAGGAGAGCCTAGGGATGAGTTAGCCATGCCACGTCCCTGAGGGGTGGCAGCAACCCCTTGGCTCCCAGTCGGGATCTTCAGGTCCCTCCTGCTTCACCCCCGGGTGCCGAATCCCACCCCGGCCCCACAGCAGCACCAGAGGGGTGACAGAGAGGGGACCCGTCTCCCTACGTACGGCTCGGGACAGGGCCCCACAGCCCCAGGGCATGCCAGGATCCGCAGAGCTGAGCGCTGGCGCCTGCCGCCCCCCACGTCCCGCTCCACGGTGAGGGTGAAGAGGCTGCCGGCTCTGGGGGGAAGCCGCAGCGTGAGTGGGGGCTGCGGCTGTGCCCGGAGATGGCCCCGTCCTTCCCCACCCTGTGGGATATTGGCCGTATCCCTCACCCCCATGTGGCACAGCACCCATCGGCGGGGGCCGGGAGGGCACCCAGCCCCCGGGTGTAGACACCGATGGCAGCTTGGGCATCGGGGACAGCGATTTCCATCGCCTCCTCCACCACCCTGGAAGGAGAGAGAGACGAGCGAGTGAGGAGGGTCATGTCCACCCCCCCTCCTGCACGCCCAGCCCCCTGAGGGATGTCCCTGGCTGTCGTCGGGCTGGACACCCCGCCAGGGACCACGCTCAGAGTTGGGGTACCAGCCCTCCCAGGGCATTGGGGACCTACAGGCCCAGGGGCGCGATGTCCATCACGTGCAGGGCTCGGCCGTCAGGACGCAGCAGGTCCCAGGCTTCGTCGTGGGCACTGACCTGGAAGGGGGCTGTGTTAGGCATGGGGGGCAGAAAAAGAGGGGTGCTGGCACACACACCCCCGCCCCCCAGATTGCTGATGGCCATGCACAGGCTGGGGCTGGGAAGGGGGAGATCTCAGGGACACTTCCAGCTTTTCCAGCCCCGGGTCCAGGGAAGGACAGAGCCCTGGGAACTCCTGAGCCCGGTGTGGAGCTTGGCAGGTCCCATCCCAGAGCCGAAGGGCAGGACCCAGCCTGGTGGGAGGAGATGGCATCGCTCCTGTGCCAGCCTGGCACACACTGGAGGGACCTGCAGGACCGTGCCCAGCCATGCCAAGGTGTTAGAGGGCTCCCCCGTTCCCACCAAGCTGCTGGGAGATGCCCTAAGGGCAGCCCAGGCTTTCCACCCCTGGGAAGTCCTGAAAGAGGTGAGAAAACCTGGGATCTGAAGGAATCCAGCTCCCGGTCACCCTCTGGCACAGGGGAGTGGGTACCAGTACTGGGGTAGCACATCCCCCTCGGCCCAGCAGCATCCGGCCAGAGGCAGAGGGGGGACAGGACCCCCACCCCGGAGCATCCTGGCCAGCCCTGCTCCTGCCCTACCTGGACCAGGCTGACGGTTTGCAGGCTCTGGGCATCGCCCCCCACAGCCTCCAGTTCTCGGAAGACGGTGTCGATGACCTGGGGACAAGCTGGTCAAGCTGGGAGCCTTTGGCCCTTCTCACAGCCAGACCAGCAGGGCTGGGGACAGCTGGACCACCGGGGGCACAGCACTGTGCAGATGTGCTGTCACCTCTCCCTGTCACCTCTCCCCGTCACCTCTCCCCGCCATGCCCTGTGCCCTCACCTGGCAGACCATGCTCTGGAACGGCAGCCGGGTCCCAGGGCCACGGGGGGCCCACAGCAGCAGGGACACGCTGTAGCCAAGGGGGACCAGGGCCAGCTGGGGTCTTGCCAGCTCCAGGATCTTCTCCTGGTAGGAGAGATGTAGCCAGCAAAGCAAGGATGGCGTGGCACGAACAGCACGGGGCAGGTGGCCCAGCCCAGAGGGCATTGGCATGGATGGGCCAGCACAACACAGACGGTGTGGAACCCATAGCACGGCACAGGTAGTCCGGTATGGCTGGCACGGTGCAGGTGCACAGCATGGATGGCATGTCACAGTGGTCACAGCACACCGGGGAGGGCACAGCACGGGCAGTGAGGGACAGACGGCACATCCCGGCAGGGCAGCCACGTCCCAGCACACAAGAGGAAACGGTGAAGGGGTGAGAAACACCCGTGGAGCCACACACAGGACCAAGCCCCAGGTCCCCAGCACTGCCTGGGACACCTGAGGAGCTGGCGGTGGTGCCCAGTGACTCCGGGACCTCAGCTGGGTGCCCTAGCCCATGGCGTGGGCCAGCACGTCCTTGGCTCGCCCGGCTGGGGACAGGGGTGCAGAAGAAGGACTTGGTGCCCATGATACCTGTCCTGCATCCAAGCGGAAGATGCCATCAACAGTCAAGCAGCTCTCCTGGTACGAGGGAGGGAGGATGACAATGTTCAGCTTTCCCCCATCCCAGTATGACCAGTGCAGGCTAAAGGAGGGACTGGGCACACTGGGATGGAGATGGCAGGGGTGGTATGGAGGGCTTGGCACAGGCAGGGGTGGGGGGACACCTCCTCCCTTCCCCTGCTACCTGGCAACCTCCAGGGTAACCCCACAAGAGAGGGCCCCGTGGGGCTGTGGGGCAGGATCAGCCTGAGACCTCAGCACCCATCCGGACCCAGGTGGCTGGAACAGGGTCCTCTGCTCCTGCCTGGTTCCCTGGGGACCCTCGTCCCCTCCATGCCCATGTCCCCACCACTCTCACCTGGAGCTCCTTCCCAGCAAAGAGAAGCTGCAGAGGGTCTTCACTGCTGGATGCCCAGCTCTCCCCCGGCCCTGAGAACACTGAGCGTGACGTGGTGTGGGGGGGTCATCCCCCCCTGCCCCAGCTCTGCGCCCCCCTGCAGCCTGGGGACACATCCCTCAGCCCTCCTGCTATGACCACGGTGCTCAGAGCCACCAGGGTCGGGGGGCACCACTGCCCAGGCCAACCCCACCAGCATGGCCAGTGGTCCCAGTGCCACCATGGCTGTGGCTGCCACCCTCGCCCGGTTCCCTGGGGTGGGGGTTTGGGCGAAAGGCAGGTGTCCCCAGCTCTACCTGCTGCCTGGTGGAATCCCACGGCTGCTCGTACGGAGACATCCTGCTCAGCCTGTCGGGACACAGGGCGGAGGGGGAAGGAGCTGGGTTCTGCTTCAGGCCCCCGGCATCGACCCAGATCAGGATCAGCCCTGGGGAGCTGGGCAGGGTCTGGCCATGGCCATGCCACACCGAAGGCAGGGGACAGAGCCCTCCAAAGCACCCTGTGGTGTCCCCCAGAATGGCTCTCACCTCCAGTGTGTCCATGGCGAGCTCAGCACCGGCGGCTCTCGAGCTGCTGTTTGGGACAGGGCACGGGATGGAGTTACATCTAATCAGGAAGGGCATCGTGTTCTCCTGCATCATTAATGGGTGTCGGGCTCAGCTGTGTGGGCAGAGCCCAGCAGGGACAGAGTCCAGCCTGGAGGCACCATGTTCTGGAGGCTGAGTTCCCTTTGGCTAAGAAGTCAGAGGGGCTGTGGGGGGCAGGTGGGTGCTGGGACCCACTTACACCATTGGTGCGCTCCTGGCTCCAAGAGGGACATCTTTGCAAACCCGGAACAGGAGGTGGAGGGACCTTGGACTGTCATGGAGGTTTCTCTAGACACCAGAAGCAACCACAAACCACAGAGATCAGTCACATCAAAAAGCATGAAAGGAAATGCTGAAGCTGCATCCAAGCTCCCCATCCAAATGTCTGGAGGCGTGAGGGTGATGCCAGGCTGGACACAAGCCATGGTGGCACCTGGGGCTCCATCTGGAGCAGAGCTCAGGGTGGGACGTGCCTTAGGGTGCTGCGAAGGGAAAGCAAATCCTCAGGTTTGAAGACACAGGGATTTCTCCTTCCTTTTCCATCAGATGGCAGCTGCTGCTCCCCGTTCCCAGGTCCGGCCAGCAGCAGGGCTGAGCACCAGTCCCCGAGGTGCAGAAGCAGAGACCTGGTGTACACAGGTCCCCGTGGGCCAGCACGAGCAGAGCAGAGCCTTTGCTGGCACCCACCCAACCACCAACAGCGCCCGGGCGGCGCAGCTCCAGCCCTCCCCTCCAGCTCCTCGGGGCTGACACGGGCTGGTGGCACAACCCTCCACCTGCCCGTGTGCCCTCTGGCAGGCAGCAGACCCCAAGTCCATCACGGACCCACGGCTGGACCCTGTTTAGCCCCTCTCCAGCTCCAGCAGTGCATCTTTCCACACTGGTTGCCCACCCCCGGGCTGTTCCAGCCTGCGTTCGCCCACAGGGCACGTGCACGTGGGGACAAACAGGACAGAGTGAGGTGACACAGAAATTACCCAGGAAGAGAATTTAATGAGAAGGCAGGACAGGCCACGGGGATGAAGCACCAGCCGGGCAAGCGCTGCCTGCCTACGACCAGCCCCCTTCTTTCTCCTCCCCATTGTCCCATCCCTGTTCCTTCCCCACGCACCCATCATGATCCTCCCTTTGATCCTTCCCCTACTCATTCCCCCGATCCCCCTCAGAATCCCATAAGCAATTTTCTCTCTCCTATGAGACCTTTTCTAAATAACACAAAATAAACACAGGTTCTTCTTATCAGTTAAAACATTTCTGGTTGAATCTCTTCGAGGTCACACTTGAGGGGTTCATCCACCAATGCCTTGAGAGCTTGGGTCTTGGTTGCAGTCTCTGTTACCTCCCACTCGTCAGTGTTTGTGTATTGGGGGTGTCTCATTTATTCGTTTTCCTGTCTTTTGTGGTTTTTCTCTCATGCTGAAAGGCAGTTAGGCAGACAGCCTCTCAAACCAGGCATCCTCACAGCTGTGGCCCAGGTGAAGAGAGGTGGAGGATCAGCAGAGGGGCCATGTGCTGGGGGGCAACAGGGCTACAAGATGGTGGTGGGGCCCTGGAGGGGGGGGACCACCAGACCCCAATGAGGCTTGGGACATCTGAGCGCCGCCCGCAGCGGTGCAGACGGAGCTGAACTCCTCTTGTTCAGGGGAGATGACCCCATGGGGCAATGAGTGCGTATTGGGGCTGGGGGAGTTGGGGTTGGCCATAAGGAAAGCCCCTCTGGAGGGTGCAGCCCTGGGGGCAGAGCAAGGAGAGGGGCTTTGCTTGTGGGTCTCCCCCAAAATTGGATGGGCAAAGCCACAGCCACTGTGGGATAAATGCTTGGGACAGTCCTGCTCAACTGGGACTGGGGACATCGAGTGAGCCCCTCACCAGCACTTGGGGGTCCTGTGAATCTTCCCGGGGAGCTCCTGGGGCTGCTCCCCTGCGGGGAAGCGCTGGTGGGAAGGGTCACACGTCCCCTTCACACCCTGCAGCAGGGACGGAGCAGCCCGGGCCTGGACCTGACCAGCCAGACTGCCCCGGCCACCCCGAGCAGGGCCAGGGCAACGCAGATGGGGGCAATCACCGCGGCGCTGTTACACCGCAGCACCGAGACCGGCACCTCCTCCACCAGCCTGCCCTGGTAGTCAGGGGGCGAGTGACACGTGTAGTCTTGGGGCCAGCCCTGCCCAAGGTGCCCCGTGGCCGCCAGCGCCTGGAGCCCCCTGGCCCCGGAGCAGGAGCAGTTGAAGGGGTTACCAGCTGCGGACACGTCCTGCAGGTGCTTCACCTCGTCCCACAGCAGCTCTGTCATCTGGTTGTTGTCCAGGTGGAGGGTGTCCAACACGGGGTAATTCCTGATGGAGGGGACAGCCCGCAGCATGTTTTGGTTCAGGAAGAGCTTCTTCAGGGAGTGGAGGGAGATGTCTACGGCGTGGAGGTGGTTGCAGCTCACGTCCAGCACTTCTAGACCGGGAGGCAGGGGTGCGAAGACTTCATCCAAGCCAGTGTCGGACAAGTTAAAAATTCGGAGGGACGCCGGCCACTGGCAGGAGGAGGATGGGTCTGCCGTGAGCTTGTTCTGGCTGAGATCTAGGTGCTGAAGCCCGTGCAGCAGCTGCACGCTCTCACACAGGCTGTGGTAGGATCTCAGGTGGTTGTGTCGCAGACTCAGCACCTGGAGCTGAGGGAAAGCCCCGCTGCAGAAGGCGGACACCAAGCTCTCATCCCCAAGGCTGTTTTGCGCCACATCCAGGGAGCGCAGAGCTCCAAACATCTTTCCGATGCCACAGGGCAGGCTGGTGACACGGGAGGCAGTGACAGCCAGCTCCTGCAGGGTCCCCAGCCAGCCGCTCAGGTGGGAGAAGTCCTGCTGGCGGCCCGTCAGCGGGGCAGACGTCACATTGTGGAAACGCAGGGACAATATGGGCAAGTCCTGGTTGGCCATTTCCTCCCAGTTGCCTCTCCCCTCGAAAATGCAGCTTTCAAACACCAGCTCCTCCACCTTAGTGTAGGAGAAGAACTTCAGGACTCGGGCGAGGAGTATCTCAGGCACCAGGAGATCCCCCAAAATTATTTTTCTGATGACAAGGGAGTCCAGCATTTCAATGGCAGAGGGGTCCAGGTCACTGATGGGGAAGGCTACGTATTTCTCCAGCTCTCCTCCCCGAAACTCCACGACGGAGGCTGCGAGGCACTGGATGATGCTGCCTATGGTTTCCTGGGAGAGGTGGTAGCACACACAGTACTCCTGAGTGCGGTTGAAGTGACACCTGCCATCTGCCTCCGCAAACCCCAGCCCCAGGAGGAGGAGGAGGACAGCCACGCTCATGGTGAGCAACCTAGAAATGAGGAGAGCAGGGGTGAAAGGCAGCACTGGTGGCAGATGAGGGGGGGCCGTTCAGACCCAGCCGGCTTGGGCAGGTTCAGCCACGGAGAGCCACCACCACGTTGCCCTCATCCCTCCTGCCCAACTGCCCTTCGCGTGGGGCCGGCGCACCCGCCTGGCTGCTGCGACGTGACTCAGGGCGAAGCTCGGATCACCGGACAAACACCCAGGCTGGACAAACACCAGCTCCTCGGCAGGGAGCTGGTGGCTCTGGTCCCACCCCACCCCAAAAGCAGGGTTTTTCGGCGAGGCTTCTCCTGAGGCAGCAGCCACCGGGCTCTGCGCTTTCCTGCCCGGGCTGCGCTTGCCGCAGGCTCCCGTTCCCAAGCCACCAGCAAACCCCACGGATCAGGAGAAACTTGCAATGCGGAGTCAGAGACAGCAAAGCCACAGCCTGACCGCAGGACGGGAGAGCCACAGCTCTGTTTGCTTCTCTGTGTGGCAGGCGCTGTAATCTGGGGCAGGAAATTGCAACAGGCAGCTTCATATTTTCCTTTCCCAGTAACCCGATTCATGACCAGCCTCCAAAGGGACAGGAGAAAATAATTCCTGGGGGTCTGTACGCGTCCCTGCCAGCGTCAGGTACCGCTTTGCTGTCCCGCTGGCAGGAAAGTCTTATCAACAGGTTGCAAAGAAGCAGCGAGCAAAGATTAACGGCTCCTGAGGATGTGCTGACTCAGCTCCGTCCGAGCACCCAGACGGGGCAGTGGTGAGGAGCCTTTGGGGGTCTCCAGCCCAGCCTCCTGCTCCGAGCAGGACTGTTGCCAGCACTAGCCCCGATCAGCCACAGCTTTTTTTCTGGCCGTGTCTCAAAAAACCTCGTCAGATGGAGCTCTCCCTACCTCTCCATGCTGTCCCTCCTGGGGAGAAGCTCTCCTCCAGCCCCGGCGGCAAGTTCCCCTCGCTGCGAGGGCAGCGCGGAGCTGGGCTGGATTTGCCCAGTGACTCACCAAACCACCTCACGCCAAAACCTTACCTTGCCCCACGGCTGTTTCCTCCAACCGCTGCCAAATCCAGGGCTGGGGTGCCCAGCTCCCTCCCGTGCCCGGTCCTGCCCTGCCTGCGGCCGGAGGACACCTCGCTGCCTGCAGGTGTCTTCCTGCAGCTCGTCCTGCCGGCGTTCCTGTCCCCGCCGGCGGGGAGCTGGTGGCAGGCTCCCGGGCACATTCGTGTCTCCTGCCGGGTGACTTCCTGAGTGGGACGGGGACAGCTGTGCCACGGGAAGCCACGCGCTGCGCCGCAGCCGCCCCAGTCACTTCTGCTTCGCCGCCCTGCAGCAAGGGGACCCTGCAGCTGCGGGCTGGGGGGGACTTTGGCCTGGGTGCCCATGCTCCTCACCTTCCCGGGGAGGATGAGGGAAGAGAGTGGCATCACGGAGCCCTAAATGCACTCCCAGGACCAGCCCCAACACACTTTTGCTTCCAGACACTCTGGGCTTGTTGTGCCTCAGAGCCCACCAGGGGCTGAGCAATGTAGAAGGACATGGGGCTGTCATACCCCATGTCCAAACCATCCCCAAATACCCATGTCCCATGTAGGATGGGAACGGGACAAATTCCCATCTGCTGTGGAATGGTGATTATTCACCCAAGGTTGGATTCCTTGGCAAGGGAGCTACTCGGCTTGGCCGAGGAACTTCCACATCACTTGCCCCGTGCTCCTCTAGCAGTTGGTGGCCGTGCCTACACCAAGACGTTAACACTCTCCATCAGCAAGTGGAGACCACCAGGCACTTGGGAAGACCTGCCAGGGATTTTTAATTCCCCAGGGATTTCTCTGCCCAGGGTGGTTTTCAGAAGGTGCTTCAGGAAGGCAACAAAGCTGCACGGCGGGAAGATGCAATTCCCAGTTTGTTGTTGTTAATGCAGCATTATGGAGAGACACCACCACTGTGACGGCAGCTGGGGCGGGGGCTGCCTGTTCCCCCGCGCTCCGCTGGTGGGACAGGTGAAGAGAAGCTCTTCTCTTGGTGATGACACCTCCTGCAGCTCGTTTCCTTGTTCCTTGTGCCTTGGGCAGTGCCCTGCGCTGCTTTGCTGCCTTGCCTTGGGCGATTCCTTGTGCAGAGGGGTTCAGCAATTCCACCATTCCTCTTTTCTGTCCTCGGGATACACCAACCTGCTGCTGCGTGTGCTGGGAAGAAGTCGCGGCCGCTTGTCCAGGTTGTCCTCGCTACTCCTTTTGGTAAGGTCAGCAGCTCTGACCGGGCCTGGTACCTTCTCATTGCTCATTCCCGGCCACCAGAGGCAAATGCCTTTCTGGGGAAAAATGAGCTGTTCTGTCTCCCCGGTGGCCAAGCACACGCCGCTTCAAAGACAAGTGGTTTTGGAGACTTTCTTCTTCCCATTGCCACTGTGGAAGACCCCAGGACACTGAGACCTGTCGTTTTACGTCTATGGTGAGCCTCTGGGCTTTTTTGGCTCCGACAAACAGGCAGCCCAGCCGTGAGCGCGGGCAGGAACCTGGCCTGAGCCCGGAGACCAGCTGGTTTGAGCCCTGCGAGGCTGTCACAGTTAGAAGAACCCACAACAATTCATTGCCGTTTAGACAATTCCATCACCCCATGGCCTATCCCCACCCGGGAAGGGGAATTGGGCAAAAATAAGGAAACACAAGGATTGAAATAGATTTAATAGGTTAAGACTAGATAATTCATAACACTAAAGAACCACTATTGATCCTGATACCAATATAAACCACCCAAGGACTGTCCCCAGCCCCTTCCCCAGCAGAAGCCGTGCCCTCCCGCAGGGACAGCCAGCGTGGGACCCTGCGAGCGCTGAGGATTCGGGAGGAAGGGAAGGGCTCGGGGCTCCGGCACCGGGGCAGGGGGTTCTCAGGATCCCAGACATCAGGGGATAGAGAGAGAACTCCTCAGCAAACGTTCTACTTTATACTGAATGTGATGTTCATGGTACAAAATAACCTTGTTGGCAGCCTGGGTTGAGTGCCCAGGTCTCGCTCCCCCTTGTCCCCGCACCCGGGGAGCTCGGAAACACCGACACCTTCAAACCCACCCCCCAGAGCTGCTGCAAAGCAAGTATTTTCACTAATTCAGCCACCAGAGTCTTCTAAAAGTGCGCTTTTCCCCCGCATTAGAAGAGATTTTACTCCTGCACGGCCCAAACCAGGGCACGAGCTGGAGGAGCTCGTCCTCAGGCTGGTCCCCGCCCGTGTCCCCGTCTCCAGGCCCTGCGCCCCGTCCGTGTCCCCGCACCCACCGGGGCCGCCCGTGCTCCCTCCCGCGGCGGGGGTGCCCCGGCAGGGCCCCGGGGAGGGCCCACCCCGCTCCTGCCGCGCCGGGGCGGCGGAGGGATGCCCGGGCCTGGGTCCCCGGGGCTCCCCGGGCCGCGGGGCCGAGCCCCCCGGGAGGACACGGCCCTGACAAGGCGGGGGTTCGTCGCGGCCACCGGGGCTTCCCCGGGCACCAGGCGGCGGAGGCCGCGCCAACCCAGCGCCGGGCCCGGCCTCCTCCCCGCCCCGGCCCGCCCTCTCCGCCTCCTCCTCCTCCTCCTTCCCGCCGCCATGTGGGGCCGGCGGCGGCGCTGGGCCGGGCCCGGCGGCGGCGGGGGCCTGGAGGAGCTGCGGGCCCGGCGGCGGGAGCGGGAGGCAGGTCCGCGCCGGGGGCGTTGTGGGCCTCCATCGCCCCGGGGTGTCGGTGCCGGGCCCTGGGGGGGTTTGTGGGCCCCCATCACGCCGGGGTGTCGGTGCCGGGCCCTGGGGGGGGGGTTGTGGGCCCCCATCACCCCGGGGTGTCGGGGCGGCGGGTGGGAGCCCCGTGGTGGCCATCTCTGCCCCGTGGTGGCCATCCCTGCCCCACACCAGGACCCAAAGAGACCCCCTGTCTGCCCACGCATCCCGGGGAGGAGAATGGCATCTGCAGGCTCCTTGCCAGCCCTGGGAAGCGTTTTACAGGCTGATTTTGTTGTTGTTTTGTTTTGTTTTGTTTTTTAATCCATGTGGCTTTTCTGCCCTGGGTTCCCTAGTTGCCAACGGTTTGGGTTTTCCAAGGTCTCCCTTGCATACGACCAGCCTTGGGTCCTTCCCAGCGTGGCCACCATGGTCCTCACCCCTCTGTCCTGCCTTCCTGCCTGGTCTCAGTGCCAGTCGCTGCCCCATGCCTCGTCCCTCCCTGGCTCACACAAGGCAGAACTGGCAGCTTCTCCTGGTTAAAAGGCTCTTTGGTGGGGTGAGAAGTGTCTTGGCCCAGGCAGGTGGTGACGGGGACCGATTCGCTCGCAGCTCTCAGGAAAGCCCGGCGGCAGGAGCAGCTGGTCAGCAAGCGTCTTCTGCGGGAGGACACTGCGGAGCAGGGGGGACAGGATGGAGCAGAGACCCTGCCAGACCCTCTGTCAGAAGATGAGGTGAGGAACATGATGTTCTCCATGGTGATGGGGGTCACTGGGGTCTTCCCAGCATGTGGAGGAGCCCGGGCGGAGGTGGGTTTGGGAGTGTTTTCTGAGTCACCACCCCAGATGGTGAGAAACAATGAGGTTCTTTGCAACCAGGGGAACTTGCATCCTGGGTTTCTTTGCCTCCAGGATTAACAGGATGAAATTCACCCATCTTTTAATTTTGTGATAGGTCCTTCAGCTCCTCAGAGGCGTGCAGAGGGGTTCAGAGGACAGGAAAGGATCACTCAGCCGCCTCCGTTGGGCTCTGCAGAACAAGGAGACTCAGCAGAAGTTTGTCAGGTCAGCCCAGGTTTGGCACTGCCTGGCTGTTATCAAGAGCACATCCAGGGTGGCCCTGTGTCCCTGTCGTTGGGTGGGTGAGCTGGTGTGTGTCCAAGGGTGGGAAGGCAGGAGGTGACACATCCTTTGGGTTCCACCAGGCTGGATGGCAGCATCCGGACGCTCATCGGGCTCTTCACCAGCAGCCTGGCCGACATGCAGATGGAGGCAGCCCGCTGTCTCCACGAGCTCTCCCACTCCAGCGACCCTGCTGTGGCCGAGGCGTGTCTGCCAGTGACCTCTTATCTCCTCACCTACCTCTCAGGACACAGTGTGGAGTTCACGGTAAGATCCATGCCTGGGTTTGCCAGGACTCTGGCAGCTGATAATGCTTTGGTAGCAGTTGGGTGTTGACCTCTTTTGGCCAGCTTTAGCCTAACATGGGTCACACAGGAGTGTTGGTGCGAAGGGGCCCTCTGGAAGCCTCCAATCCAACCTTCTTCCTCTTGGAGCAGGACTGTCCCCGGTGCTAGCCCAGGGCAACGAGGCTTTGCCTGGCCAAGTTTTGGAAATATGGAGACCCCCTTCACTGTCCCCTGTCCCAACACCAAGAGGAGTTTGGTTCCATGGTGTTTGCACCTCCTTCCAGGTGGCTTCAGGCTGCTCTTAAATTCTCCCAAGCCTCAATTCGAATAGGAAGATCCTCCTGCCGCAGCCCAGGACGCAGGGGTTTGCCCCATATGCAGTGAGTTCCTCCTCTTCAGCTCCAAGCCCTGTTTGGGGAAGCAGGGACCACAGGCTGTGGCAGTGGGACTCTGTTATCAGATGTGTGTGGTGGCCTCTTGGCACAGGCTGGGCCGGGACAGGAGGTACCTTGGTGTCTGTGTGGCGGGCAAAGCAGAAATAATGGATGCAGCTCAGTTTAGGTGTTTGGAAATATCTTGGAGAAGTGAAAGAAATGAGCAGTGGCGGGCTGGGGTGCAGGGACGGCGACTTTGTCAGCCCATCATTGTGCAACCAGCCAGGGAGGCTTTCCTCCAGGATGGAGGAGGAGCAGAGCCGGTGCAGCTCCGAGCTGTGTAGTTTGATCCGGGCCAAGGAGCCAACAGTTGGAGTAGCTCTGGGATGGCCATGTGTTCACCAGCTGCCCAGCAGCCCCCTGTGCTCCTCTGAGACCCAGATGGGATTGGGGACAGGATGGGGAGCAATCCCAGGGTGATGATGACATTTTAATGCGGCACACGGGCAGCTGCCAGGAGAATACTCTGGAATTAGAGGGGTCTCAGGGAAATGTTGTAGCAATAATTAAAAGCCTGAAAAGCCTCCAAAGTAGATCTGATCAGATCCCAACCTGAGCCAGGTAGAAGAGGGATAAATTGAAGCTGATACAGCTGGCAGTGGGGTAACTGGAGAGTCCAGCAGTATCCATCTGTGTATATCCCTCTGAAGATACATGGAACTTCTGAAGACAGCTTCTGCCCTGCTCAGGGGAAGTTCCATCTAAACATGAGGAGGAACTTCTTTACTTTGCGGGTGGCAGAGCCCTGGAACAGGCTGCCCAGAAGAGAGGTCTCCTTCTCTGGAGACATTCAAAACCCACCTGGATGTGTTCCTGTCCAACCTGCTCTGGGTGACCCTGCTCTGGCAGAGGGTTGGACTGGGTGATCTCCAGAGGTCCCTTCCCACCCCGACCATTCTCTAATTCTGTGTGCTCCAGTCCCAGGGTGCAGGGACCTTGCCAGCTGCCCAGGGTCTGGCTGGGGAGGGCAGGGGAGGTGACCTGCTCTCCTGGGTGTGTTTCAGGAGCTGTGTTTGTACACGCTGGGGAACCTGGTAGTGGAAAGTGAAGCTGTGAGGAAGCAACTTCTGCCTCAGGGCATCATTCCAGTGCTGGCATCCTGCATCCAGGTGGGTAGAACAGCTCAGACATGCTCTTCCCCTGCTCTGCCCCAGAAAGACCCCTTTTCTCATGCCCTTTAGACACTGGCTGGCAGCACGGAGTTACCAGCCTTCCTTCCACCTGTGGCCAGGGCCAGACACCCTTCTGCATGGGGTTGTTCCCTTGCAGGTGAAGGTCTTTTGTGGGCTTTTCTACACTCTGTTCTCAGGGCTCAAGTCACCGCCTTGTCCCTTTCTTCCTTTGTGTCCAGTTTTGGGCCCCCTACCATAAAAAAGACATCGAGGTGCTGGAACGGGTCCAGAGAAGGGCAACAAAGATGGTGAGGGGTCTGGAGCACAAGTCTTATGAGGAGAGGCTGAGGGAGCTGGGGGTGTTCAGCCTGGAGAAGAGGAGGCTGAGGGGAGACCTTATTGCTCTCTCCAACTCCCTGAAAGGAGGGTGTAGAGAGGCTGGAGCGGGTCCAGAGAAGGGCAACAAAGATGGTGAGGGGTCTGGAGCACAAGTCTTATGAGGAGAGGCTGAGGGAGCTGGGGGTGTTCAGCCTGGAGAAGAGGAGGCTGAGGGGAGACCTTATTGCTCTCTCCAACTCCCTGAAAGGAGGGTGTAGAGAGGTGGGGGTCGGTCTCTGCTCTCAAGTCACAGGTGACAGGACCAGAGGAAATGGCCTCAAGTTGCACCAGGGGAGGTTCAGGCTGGATATTAGGAAAAATTTCTTCACCGAAAGGGTTCTCAGCCATTGGAATGGGCTGCCCAGGGAGGTGGTTGAGGCCCCATCCCTGGAGGTGTTCAAAAGCCGGGTTGATGTAGTGCTGGGAGGTATGGTTTAGTGATGGTGTTGCTTTTTGTTTGTTGTGTGGGTGTCTATTTTTGTCAGAGTTAGGTTGACGGTTGGACAAGATGATCTTTAAGGTCCCTTCCAACCTAGAAGATGCTGTGATTCTCCAGTGGGGTCTCTCACACCCATAACTGTGGCTTGCTGATGAACAGTCCCTACTGCGGGGGGCTGCTTCTCCCCTCCCCACAGTGTGGGTCCAGCGGGCAAACGAGGCCAACACAGCGAGTGGGGCTGTCACCTGCAGGTCGGAGTGCCCACAGCGGCACCGCCGCTGCGTTTGGGCTCCTGGATCCCTACAGCTGCACCCGTGCGAATCCGGGGAGGGGGCACAGCTCAGCTTTGGTGTGGCCACGGCTTGCTCTGTCACTCCCAGTCCCCTGCTGAGCACTGCCTTCCCCAGGCACAGGGAGAATGTGCTGCTCGGCTGCTTGGTTTGGCGTTACGAGGTGGTATCGGCCTCTCACCAGCACCGCAGCGGGCACCCCAGGACCCCCCCTGGCTCTGTCAGGTGGGATTAGCTCCCTTCTCTTTGATTGCAGTCCCCCCACGAAGCTGTGCTGGAAGGTCTGGGCTACGTCCTCTCGCAGCTGCTCCAAGCCAAGGAAGCCCCCGCAGAGATCGTGCCGTGAGTCCGAGCGTCTTCACCCAGCGTCGGGACGGGCCCCGGGGCCCGGCGTGGTATTTGCATGCCAGGGACGATGACGCCTTTCCCATCCTGCTGATATTAATAGTTCAGAGCAGAATCCTGCCAGAACTGTGGAGGTTTCGTGGCAGATCAGGGCCTGACTCCCTTCCCTCTACCTCATCTGAGCAGACAGCTGTGGTATTTTGGTAAAGGACAGTGTCGAGCAGGGCAGGCTCGCAGGGAAATTCCGGCTGCATTCCTCCTGTGAAGGAAAAGATCAGCTTGACAGTCCCTGCCCCCAGTGCCAAAAATGGGATCCTGGCCAAGGTGTCCTGAGTGCCCCCAGGCCCTGCCCCCGACAGGGAGAGCTTGTGCCGGGCTTTTGGGGCACCTGAGGCTGCAGCCCTTTGGGAAGAGTCTCTTCCAGGTGTGTTTTTGGAGCATGTGGGAGGGGGAGCAGCTCCCTGCTCGGTGGCCTGGGCTGGTGTCTCCCTCTGGGTTGTCTGTCCCGCTTGTGCTCTGGGCTGTGTCTCTGTTAACTCTGCTCTTCTGCCCCCAGCTTGGTCCTGGACTCTGTTCTCCCCCAGCACATGCTCCGGCTGGTTTGCTCCGGCCTCAGGGCTGGGACAGGAGCAGCCGTGGAGTTTGCCTGGTGTCTCCACTACATCGTTTGTAGGTAAATGCGCTTTTCTCCTCGTTCTGAGTTCACCAGAGGCAGCCAAACAGAGAGGCATGAAGGCTCAGGATCCTGCAAGGGGACCTGGACTGCTTCCCCTTGGGAAAGCAATTTCCCTGCTGTCCTGGGCATTCATAGAACCATAGAATGGTTCGGGTTGGAAGGGATCCTAAAGCCCCCCCAGTGCCACCCCCTGCCCTGGGCAGGGACACCTCCCACCACACCAGGTTGCTCCAAGCCCCCTCCAACCTGCCCTTGAACCCCTCCAGGGATGGGGCAGCCACAGCTTCTCTGGGCAACCTGGGCCAGGCTCTCACCACCCTCACACCAAACAAGTTCTTCTCCACATCTCAGCTCCATCTCCCCTCTTTCAGGGTCAAACCCTTCCCCCTCCTCCTGTGGCTCCCCTCCCTGATCCAGAGTCCCTCCCCATCTCTCCTGGAGCCCCTTGAGGGACTGGAAGGGGCTCTAAGGTCTCCCTGGAGCCTTCTCTTCTCCAGGCTGAACCCCCCAACTCTCTCAGCGCCCCCTCCCAGCAGAGGGGCTCCAGCCCTCCCAGCATCTCCGTGGCTCTCCTATCTGAGCAGGGTCACTGAGATCGTTTACGGGGTGATACTGGGTGATAAACCTGAGGAGGCAGTTCCTAGTCGTCTGAAAGCCCCTCAATACCCTCCCTGTGTCTGGAGTTGTCCCTTGCACTCCCCAGGGCAAGCTCCCTGAATCCTCTTGCCTCTGGGGTTGGCCTGGTGTCACCAGCTGCTGCCCAGTCTCCTCCTGCCTTGGGGTGGCTGCTCCAGCACCATCTCTTTCAGCAGCCCCAGCAGAAAGGAACATGTGGGTACGCCAAGAAGGATCGGGCCGGTTGTTTCCAGACCCTCACAGATAATTCCAGTGGATCCATTTTCCACAGGAAATTAGTTTATACGCTCAGAAACCAGCTGCTATTCACAAATTTCCAGGCCTCGTTGTTTGGTGAGGACTGCAGCAGGTTTTCCCTCTCGGACCATCACCACGCTGTCCCTTCCCTTCGCAGCCACACGGCCAACGCCGCGCTGCTGTCGCTGGGGGCCTTCCCTGCCCTGGCCTCGCTCTTCCTCGAGATGGCTTCTGAAATCCCCCAGGAGGCTCCCGAGGGCCTGGAGCTGGTAAGTTGTGGGCTGTCCTCGGCACTGCCGCGGGGACGGGGTCTGCCTGAAGGGTGTTGGGTGTCCCACCATCTGCCTGAAGGGTGTTGGGTGTCCCACTGCCCGCCTGCAGGGTGTTGGGTGTCCCACCGTCTGCCTGAAGGGTGTTGTGTGTCCCACCACCTGAAGGGTGTTGTGTGTCCCACCACCACAGCTCGTCTGCCCGGTGCTGCGGTGCCTCAGCAACCTGCTGGCGGAGGAGATGGGCTGCCACCTCCAGGTCCAGGACGAGCGCCTGCTCATCGCCCTCTTCCTCATCCTGCAGAGCTTCCTCCCGCAGCACCCCTTCATGGCACAGGAGTGTCTCTGGCTGCTCAACAACCTGACGGGTGAGTGTCCCCCCCAGGGCTGTCACCAAAGCCAGAGCTGCTGCTGGGCCCTGCCTCGATCGCTGGCAGGTCTTGCCTAGAAACCTCCCTCAGAAACCGTGATTTTAGTGCTGGTTCCTTCCCCAGCGGACAAGCCCTTCTTCTGCTCAGCTCTGCTCTCCCTGGACCTGCTCCCGGCTCTGCTGCAGCTCCTGTCCTGTTCCCAGATGGCCAGCGTGTTGGTGAGGCCTCACCCGATGCCCTGGGTGCGGGGAGGGGAAGCACTGGGCTTTCGGGAATGTGGGTGGCACACGCATGGTGCTGGGGCTGGAGGTCAGCTGAGGGCAGTACCCACAGCTTGGCAGAAAGTCTCAGGTGGTGGCGTCACCATGTGCCTCCCCTGAAGTCACTATGTCTCTGTGTTACCCTCGACGGAGCCTGTTTGGCTCGGGAGTGAACAGTGCCTTGGGGTGGGGACGGAGAAAGCTTTTAAAATTCAAATCATACTAAAAATCAAGGTGGCTGGTGGCCATGTGGCTTTGGGGAGGCACCTGGCAGGACTTCTGGGGAGGACACGGGGAGTTCTCTCTCTCTCTGCCTGTCGGGAATCCTCTGCCCACTAACGAAGCGTTCGTTGCTCACTCCTCCGCCCAGGTCCTGACGGTTCTGTGCAATATAGCAGAGAAGGGACCACCCTACTGCCAGCAGCTGCACCAGCAGCAGGCCCTGCCCCTGCTGCTGCCCACCCTTGTCCTGCCCGACCCCCAGGTGGTGGGGCAGTGCTTGGAGCTGCTGCACCTCCTCTTCCTGCACTGCCCGGAGGTGAGACCCGGTATCAACCATGAAGTCGTAAAACCCTGGGGTTTTATGGGGATGGGGATTATTATTACTGTTCAAATGATACTGCCTTCAGACACTGCCGCGCCAGACCCCACTCCTCAGCATCCAGACTCGTGTCTGAAGGCAGGGGACACTTGTGTGATGCAGAGGGTGGAAGCCTCTTGTGTCCCTGGGGAGTTCCCTTTCACAGAATGGTTGGGGTTGGAAGGGACCTCTGGAGATCACCCACTCCAACCCCCTGCCAGAGCAGGGCCACCCAGAGCAGGTCCCACAGGAACGTGTCCAGAAGGGGTTTGAATGTCTCCAGAGAAGGAGACCCCACCACCTCCCTGGGCAGCCTCTGCCAGGGCTCTGCCACCCTCACAGGAAAGAAGTTCCTCCTTATGTTTAGGTGGAACTTCTTACATTCAAGTTTGTGCCCATTTCCTCTTGTCCTGTCCCTGGGCACCACTGAAAAAAGACCAGCCCCATCCTCCCGACACCCTCCCTTTAAGTATTTATAGGCGTTGATCAGATCCCCCAAGTCTTCTCTCCAGACTAAGAAGACCCAAGTCCAAGCCTTTCCTCAGCGGAGAGATGCTCCAGGCCCCTCATCATCTCTCTAGCCCTTTGCTGTCCCCTCTCCAGCAGTTCCCTGTCCTTCCTGAACCAGGGAGTCCAAAACTGGGCACAGTCAACTTTTCATTGACAACGACTGTCTTTTTGGCCAGGTTGCTTGAGATGGTTATTGGGGAACACTTGATTCAGTTGTGCTTAACTCTGAGCTCTGTGCACCACCAGCCAGCAAGCAGTGTGGCTGGATTTGCCTGGCTTCAGCTGGGGGAGTTCCTGCAGCCCTGTTCTCAGGACCTGCAGCGGTGGCTCTGGGCAGACACGGCCAGGATTGGCTGTGGCAGCTCCTTGGGTGGCAGCCACTCAGCTGTCCCCCCTCTCCTCTCCCACAGGCCGCTGCTGACTTCCTCGGGCAAGGTGGGCACCGAGCCCTCGAGCAGCACCAGAGCACCCCAGAGCTGCAGGCGCGGGCGCGAGCGCTGCTGGACATGCTCGGGCAGCCCCTGGGAGCCACCACCGCCTTCAGTCCCTGCCAACCCACCTTGTCTGCCTTCTCCTAGACCTTCTCCTGAGCCACCCCACCTCCCTTCCCTCTCCCTGCACTCCCAGGAGGAGGAAACAGTTTGTTCACCCTGTGCCCTGCTTCCCCAAGGGCTGTAAGCACCAAGACGCTGCTCCTTGGCAAGATATGGCTGATCCCATCCTTGTCCCCACCAGTGGGCAACCCCCTGCCTCCCCAGAGCCTGGTGCAGCGGCAGAGCCCAGCTGCAAGCCGGGCAGACGGGCTCTTGGTGCCAGGAAGGTGGGGTCCCTGCTGAGGCCGTTCCCTCCAGCATCTCCTTTCGGCTTTAAACCCAACATGTGAAGCTCAGGGTAAGCACTTTGCATTTATAAGATTGATAAGTTAAATATACACGTTTTACATTAAAGATCATCGGTCAAGCCTTGAGCACGTGCATATTTCCTGTCTGTCTTCACGCCTTGCTTTTCACAATGTTCTCCAAGGCCTTGGCCACTTCATCCACAGTGAGGTTGTTCAGCGGCACGCTCTTCTCCTTGCCGAACTCTGCAGGAAAGACAGAGGGTGAGCAGGGAAGCAGGTGCCTCCGTCCTTTTCTAGGAGGACACGAGGAGGCACTAGGACAACCTGAAGTCCTGCTTTAGGTTTCCCAAGTGCCGCTGGCATCACAGCCCGGGCTCCCATCACAGCCCTTCCGTGCACACCCTGGGGAGTCCCAGTGTGCCCAAGTTACCATTTCCACTTTCTCTTTACTCCCAGCCTTTCCCCTGGAGAGAAGCCAGCACAGCCTAACGCGCTTCCTTGCCTCTTTTTGTTAACTTTCGCTGCGCTGCAGCTGGGCAGAGGCCACGGCCGCCTCCCAGAGCGACCTGGAGGCTGTCAGTCTGCTCATGTCAAGATGCTGGCTGCTCCTGCAGCAGAACTGCTGGAAGACTTGCTGCTCCTGCAGCAGCCCCACGCGGGGTGTGTTTCCCTGGCACCGTACCGCTCCACAGGAAGGCCCTGCTGGCCCCCGTGCTCGCACTGGGGAAGTTGTGCTTAAAGAATCTCACAGAATCACAGAATCTTCTAGGTTGGAAGGGACCTTAAAGATCATCTTGTCCAACCGTCAACCTCACTGACAAAAATAGACACCCACACAACAAACAAGGAGCATCATCACTAAACCATCCCTCCCAGCACTACATCAACCCGTCTTTTGAACACCTCCAGGGATGGGGCCTCAACCCCCTCCCTGGGCAGCCCATTCCAATGCCTGATAACTCTTTCAGTGAAAAAATTTTTCCTAATATCCAGCCTGAACCTCCCCTGGTGTAACTTGAGGCCATTTCCTCTTGTCCTGTCGCCTGTGACTTGAGAGCAGAGACCGACCCCCACCTCTCTACACCCTCCTTTCAGGGAGTTGTAGAGAGCAATAAGGTCTCCCCTCAGCCTCCTCTTCTCCAGGCTGAATAACCCCAGCTTCCTCAGCCTCTCCTCATAAGACTTATTCTCCAGACCCCTCACCATTCCTCTCTGAAAGGAAGTTTCTAAATTATTTTTCTCCAGCCCAGATGGCTTTAGGAAGAAAATAAAAACTTTACAGAGGAGCTTTTCTGCCACAGGTCCCTTTTCTGTCCCTTACCTAACTCTAACCTTACTGTAAGGGCCCAAGCATCCCTCACTGTAACCCCTGACCCCCTGCCGCACACCGGCGGCTCCGGCGGCCCTTTCCAGCCGTCCCCCGGCGGGGACCCCCCACTTACCGTACCGAGCCCAGAGCTTGGGCTGCACGCCGGAGCACTCGCGGATCAGGATGGGGAAGTCGGGATTCGCCTTCTTGAGGGTCACGTAGTGCTGCTCGATGAAGTCTCTGAGGAGGGAAGGAGCAAGGGCGGACCCCTGGGGCTGAGCCCACCGGCACCGGGCAGGCCAGCGCCTCACTGCCCCCCGGCCAGCCCCGCGGGGCGGTCCCCAGCACTGCGGCCCCCATTCATCGAATCACAGAATCATAGAATTGCCCAGGCCGGAAGGGACCTCCAAAGGCCATCTAGTCCGACCCCCCCGCAGTCAGCAGGGACACCCCCAACTAGACCAGGTTGCCCAGGGCCTCGTCGAGCCTCTCCTTGAATATCTCCAGGGATGGGGCCTCAACCACCTCCCTGGGCAACCTGTTCCAGTGCTCCACCACCCTCACAGGAAAGAACTTTCTCCTCATCTCCAATCTAAATCTGTTCCCCTCCAGCTTAAAGCCGTTTCCCCTTGTCCTGTCACTGCAGGCCTTTCTAAACAGGCTCTCCCCAGCCTTCCTGTAGCCCCCTCAGGTACTGGAAGGCTGCTATTAGGTCTCCCCGGAGCCTCCTCTTCTCCAGGCTGAACAACCCCAGCTCCCTCAGCCTGTCCTCATAGCAGAGGTGCTCCATCCCCCGATCATCCTCGTGGCCCTCCTCTGGACCCTCTCCATCAGGTTCATGTCCTTCTTATATTGAGGGCTCCAGACCTGCACACAATACTCCAGGTGAGGTCTCACCAGAGCAGAGTCAAGTGGCAGAATCCCCTCTCTGGACCTGCTGGCAACGCAGCTTTTGATGCAGCCCAGGATGGGATTGGCCTTCTGGGCTGCAGCTGCCCACTGCCTGCTCCTGTCCAGCTTCTCCTCCACCAGCACCCCCAAGTCCCTTTCCTCAGCTCACCTGACGCCGCGGCTGCCGGGCGAGCGCTGGCACAGGTGGATGCGGAGCTCCCGCAGGCCGCGACCCAGCCCGCCCCCGATGCCCCTCACGGCCGCCGCCGCCATCTTCTCTCCGCTCCGGACAACAACACGGGGGCGGAGCTCCGGGGTCCGCCCAATCGCGACGCCCGTCGGTGGCGGCGTTCGCCAATCGCAGCGCACCCCGGCCAGCGGGCGACCAATGCGGGCGGGGGGCGGGCCGGCCTGCCAGCCTGCCACGGGGGGTGCTGGGAAGGGAAGCGGCGGTGCCGGGCGGCGGAGGAGCAGAGCGGGGCGCAATGCCGGAGCGCGACAGTGAGCGGGAGGGGGGGGACGTGGGGCGCTGGGGGGCTCTGGGACACCCCAGGACACCCCGGGGCAGGGGGCAGCGGGCAGCGGGCAGCCGGCCCCCGGGCGGGCGAGCGAGCGGTGCCGCGGCTGTCGGGGGAGCGGCCCGGCGGCGGGGGGCGGGTGTAGGCCCGCCCTGGGCTCGGGACAGCGTCTCCCCGGGAGGGGGCACGGGCACCCCCCGGCCTGCTGAGGGGAACAGCCCTCGGGGGGGAAGGTGACAGCCTGAGGAGTTGGGGGGGCTCTGGATTTGGGGCCGTAGGGGCGAGGAGGTGCTCGGGGGAGATGTGGGGACAAACCCGGGGAGGGGCGTCAGGCCTGGGGGGGGGCTGTGCCCTGGGGTGCGCTGTGGGGATGGACTGGGGGGCGTTTATGGGCATGAGGGGTGGCATGGGCGGTCCCAGGAGAGGAACCCGGGGCGGAGGTGTCCCTGGGTGTGGGGACACCCCGGGCGAGGCCCTGGGACACCCCCGGGAGGGACCAGGCACACTCGGGTTGGGGGGCGGCAGGGTCTGGTGGTGGGTGGTGACACCAGGAGCCCTCCATCCCCCCTGCTGACACCCCAGGGTGCCAGTGGCAGAGGAGCAGGGTGGTGGGTGGCTGGAGCAGTGCCGACAGGCTCTGAGCGCTCTCCTTCCTCCTCTCCCCCAGATGAACCGTTCTCCAACCCTCTGGCCCCTGATGGCCATGAAGTGGACGACTCACACTCCTTCCACCAGTGAGTATGGGACTGGGACGGGACTGGGCTAGGAGCATGGGACTAAAAGCTTATTCCCCCCTTGGGAGAGCGGGAGTGGTGAGTTTGGTGGATGAGTGCCCCACAGCCTGGGCTGCATCCCCAGCAGCCTGGACATCAGGGTGAGGGGGGGAAATCTGCTCTGCTCTGGGGAAACCACCCCTCCCCCCAGTGCTGCCTCCAGCTCTGGGGCCACCAACATCAGAAGGACGCAGACCTTTTGGAGCAGAGCCAGAGGAGGCCACGGAGATGCTGGGAGGGCTGGAGCCCCTCTGCTGGGAGGGGGGGGCTGAGAGAGTTGGGGGGTTCAGCCTGGAGAAGAGAAGGCTCCAGGGAGACCTTAGAGCCCCTTTCAGTCCTTCAAGGGGCTCCAGGAGAGATGGGGAGGGACTCTGGATGAGGGAGGGGAGCCCTAGGAGGAGGGGGAAGGGTTTGACCCTGCAAGAGGGGAGATGGAGCTGAGATGTGGGGAAGAACTTGTTTGGTGTGAGGATGGTGAGAGCCTGGCCCAGGTTGCCCAGAGAAGCTGTGGCTGCCCCATCCCTGGAGGGGTTCAAGGCCAGGTTGGAGGGGGCTTGGAGCAACCTGGTGTGGTGGGAGGTGTCCCTGCCCAGGGCAGGGGGTGGCACTGGATGGTCTTTAAGGTCCCTTCCAACCCAGACCACTCTGTGATTCATTCTATGATTCTCTGGCTGGTGTGGTGCAGTTTTCGGGCTCCCTCAGTGGGGACCCTGTGTTCATCTCCATCACACAGGATGTGCTGGCAAACCTTCTTCCTGCTCAGAGGTCATCAGGCTGCTGAAGCTCATGGGGAGGTGACATTTTCTGTTTCTCTTCTTCCTTGCAGATCCAAGCTGACTAATGAAGACTTCAGAAAGCTTCTCATGACCCCGCGGGCGGCGCCAACATCTGCGCCACCCTCCAAATCTCGCCACCATGAGTGAGTACGACTCTGTTTCATGGGATTGTGGGATAAATCCTGGCTGCCTTCCCCCCTGAGCTTCCCCCAGCTCTCTCCCCCTGCACTCTGCAGCAGAGTTTTTGCTAATGTGTGCAGACAGGGTCTGAGGCGGCGGCCTCGGCCTTGCTTTGTGCTCAGGTCCATGCAAGCTGTACCCATGTGTGTTAACGGGAGAAACAGGGGAGTCAGGACTGTTTTAAATCACAGAGTGAGTCTTGTAAGGCTGTTAAGACCCTTTGTGCAGGAGGCAGATTTAGGCTTTGTCATGTGAAAGTCAGTGCTTTCCCCTCCTCTCCCTGCTGACAGAGTGGACTGAGGGAGAAACGGGACTGTGCTGTTCTCGGTGCCCTGCTGTGTCTGAGGGGCTGCTCTCTCTCACTGCCCATGTTTGTCGGGCTGAATGTGCAGTTTCTCACCCTTTTCCAGGATGCCCCGGGAGTACAATGAAGATGAAGATCCAGCAGCTCGCAGAAGGAAGAAGAAAAGGTAAATTGGGAAAGCAACGCATCAGGGGTTTTCCTTCTACATTTTTATCCCTCCTGTGGAAGCAACTTCTGAGCTCTTGGGCTGCCAAAGAGGGCCCTGAGGGGCCTGGATTCTTTTGGGGCTTTGGCAGAGTGAGAAGAGCTCAGACTGAGTGACTGTCACTGCTTGTGGGAGCAGACCTGGGAGGGTGGGAGTGGGATGGGGGTGAA